CGGACGAAAGCCACCCACTTTGGCGCTAACGGCAAAAATGTTCGCTCTATGAACACGTTTATTCAACTGCATACCTCGCGAGGGTTGACGACGCGATCGAGCATTCCCACACGAGTCACTACTCCACGTCCGTTTGCATCCGTGTCGTCGGCCTCGGGAGTAGGGGTACTGGCGACTGATAGGAATGAAATTGGTCCCTCTCTCGCTGGGCGTGGCACAACAAGTTGTCAGAGGACGCGAGCGACTCGCAACCCCACCAAGGAGTATTGTTTATCAGAGCGGAATGATTCGCGTCTCGCGAGTCCGCGGTTCGCACGCAAACCAACATCACGTACCCCATTGGCAGAGAGGGGTGTCCCTCCCACCTCTCGTGCGCCCCTGGTCCCCCGAGGAGGAACACGATTGCTGCCAACTTCGCCGATGACGGCTCGGCCGATGACGGCTCGGCCGATGACAGCTCGGCCGATGACAACTCGGCCGCCCGTGCCAAGGAACTCACAGATGCCAGGAAGTGCCACCCCGCCATGTGCACGGACACCATTGGCGCGTACAAACACTGCCCCACGCATACATAATGTGACCCCACGGGGTGCCACTACTCGTACGCCGCTACAGCGAATTGCATCGACCCGCCTTCTACCGTCAGGTGACAGCGCACGTCGTTACTTACCAACACAAACATATTTCCACCATATGGGGCCGCAGGGGTCATCGCCTCCACTTCTGATGGTCCACCTCACACGGCAGCGCAAGCCCGCGGCAACGAACGGGACGGAAACGACAACTGAGCCTGCACGTGTTTCACAAACAATCGTCAAAGAGGAGCCAAGCCAAGCGTGCAACGCGCTGTCTGAGGAATAAAGGAAAGAGCAATGCGTGCGAGTAACGAAAAAGAAGCAACGAAAAAAAACCCGTGGATTAGAATGTCAGCAGACTACGGTGGCATATTCCCTCCATTTTTGTATGGTTATCTTTTTTTTGTGTGTGCAATCTTGTTTTTGTTTTTGCGTGTCAATTTTGCTTTTACCTATTTCTTCCCTCCCCACCCCTCCTTTTTTTTGTGTGTGTGTCCTCTGGTAACGTCTTCTTATGGTCCCTCTTGTTATTATTATTTTGCCTCTTCGCCTTGCCTCCATTTCTCTTGCTCGCTCTCTCTCTCTCTTGCGCGTGTGCTTTCCTACAAATGGGAACTGCTTCTGTGTGTGTGTGTCTCGCTTGTTCTGTGATGTTATTTTAAAAAAGCGGCGTGTGTTTGTGTGCGCTCGGGGGGGGGAAGGTTCGCCGATGCACGCGGCTGTGGTCACGAGTGTGGGACTGCTCGTGGATGCCGTTATCGTGGAGCGGTGCATAGATGAAAATGAGTTGCTGTACGAGACGGCCAGTTCCCGCTCGCAGCTTGCACCTGGCTGGAGTCGGCAAGATTCCTTGTCACAAATGGCCTCCAGCTTCCAGACACCACGACACTCCTCCGCCGTCTCCGTCCTGAGCGGTTTTCTGCCGCCAACTTCCGAGAGCAGCGGCAATTCGTATGCGTTGTTCGAGTCCGTGCTCAACGACACTGTGTACTACGAATGCCGCGCCACGAAGCGGCCTCTGCAGCAGCGGTATTTCCATCTTTTTGACGTATTGCCGTTTGGCATGGAAAGTCCCTCCTTGGTGTTTGGTGTGACTGGCCGACATACAACTCGAGGCTTGGTGGTTGGCGTCAACTCTAATGGACTGTTTGTAGTGCGCCCATATGCTACTGGCGCACCGCTGCAACTTGTCCCCTACGGCGCTGATCGGAAGAGCGTTCGTAAGGAGGACCTTGAGGCTATTACCAAGCTGAGCTCCTCTGCAGCCGTAACGGAGCGATCAAAGGAGTTCATGGAGACCGTGAAGCGTTGGTCAGAAGAATCCAAAAAGGCAACCAGCCGCGATGTCAATAAGGATGTCTTCTCTCAGGGGCGTGTAGACGCAGGTGATAATAGTAGTGAGGGAAGTAGTGTGGGGAATGATGAAGTGCAGGAAGGCCTCGAGTTGTGGTCGCTGAAGGACCTACAACTGCCACCACAGTTAGCTCTGCATGATCCCATTTCTCCGCTCCGCGTCGGTTCCCGAGTGTTAGCACGACGTTACTGCTCGGACGGGTCTTTGTACGTCGCCCGCGTCGTTGCTGTGCATTACGATGTAACATACACCCTGGAGTATGAATCTGATGGAGGTGTTGACGAGCGTGTGCTGCATAATGATATTCACCTCCTAGATGATTCGGAGGCTGAGCAGTGCAGCGTTCGTGACAAGGTGACTGTCGCACTGCACAAGCAGCTGCCAGCCGTCATTATTGAATGTCTTGGTGGAGAGGAGTACAGTGTTATTTTGGAGCACAACCCGAATCAATCCCTCACCATCACACGGAGACACATTGTGTTCATTGCCCCGTTGTTAAAGGAGGCCCTCTACTCCGATCCCCACATCCTGCAGTGGTTCCGGGATCTTGACCCCACGTGTTCCGGTCTTGTGCCCTGGAAAGAAGTTCGATATTTAATTTTTGGCTGGGAATCGTATGGGCAGAAATTGTCCTTTCAAAAGCTCGGTGAGGTGCAGCGAGATTTATGCATTCACGTTGGCCGTATGGAGCCACAACTGCTGCGCAAAGTACCCGTTCAAGAGGAAGAGATGCTGCTGAACTATGCAGAGTTTGAATACGTAATACTGCGTGTGAGGAACCTGCTATGAAGGGGTAGCAGGGCACTACAGTTTATTATTGTCTTCGCTGTGTGTGTGTGTGTGTGTATGTGTCTGCCTCCTTCGCGTTGGAGAGAAAGCGTTGGGCGGGTCGCGGCGTTGTTGTTGCACGTGGTTCATGGCCAATATGCGTCCGTGTATTTGACTTGCAGTATCGTCCCCTCACAGTTGACTTTTCCGAGGTCCCTGTGCATGGCGGGTTTATGTATAAAAGTAATTGCTGTATTCGCCTTTTTTTTTTCTCTCTACCCTTCCTCCATTCCTCCTTCCCACTCTCTGTAATGTGTTTTTTTTTTATTTGACCCACCAGCGTCTTTGCTTGTATTTCTTTTTTTTTTCCACGGTGTGTGTTGGGGTCTTCTACGGCTTTGGACGCCAGACAGAGGCATGCCGTCCACCATATCGAGTCAAATTGCAGGATGGTGCGTAGGTCAGGACGTGGAGGACATCAACGCACAGTTATGCGTGGTGAGCGTCGGGTTTGATGTTGAGGGCATCGTCGCACGCCTCATCCGCCGCGCCCTCTCAGGTTTGTCATCACTGCATGCCTGCGTCTCGTGTGTCGTGTTACCCGAAGGCACAAGAAGTGGGACTCTCTCGCGCGTGGCTGCAGCCATCACTTCTTCTCTCAATCACGTCGACGACGAACGCGTGCAGGTGCATGTGGCGGAGGAGGGCACCCCCACCCGGACCCGCTGCACATATTATCAAAGCGGTGGTGTGGTGGTCTTGAGCAGCCGCATGTTATGTGCCGACCTGCTGCACAGACGGCTGTCACGTGAACTTGTGGGGATCGCCATCGTGTTGCTGCCCTACGGAGGCCCAAGGCGATCTGATAGTGTCGTGCCAAGCATCGCCTTCTGTGCAGAAATTCTTCTTCGAGGCGGTGACGGTGGGGCGAGGCATCTCCTCTCGCGTAGGCGTCATCCACCTTTTATTCTTCTTTCAGATAACCCATGCTTTGTACGCTATCTGCTGCAGCGGCGGCGCATTGGTCAGGAGCCGTTTCTCACAAAAGTACACGTCGACGACGTGCAACTGTTCCCACGCTTTCGACTCAATGTGATGCGCCACTTTGAGCAGCTTGCAAAGGAGAGGCCCTTGAAGGTGGAACGTGTCGCGGTGGGCGCGTCGTCGAGTACCACCGCCCTCGACGGGCTGCTCCGTCAGGTCTTAAAGGAGGTGATTGGAGAGCTGCACGCCTTAGAGACACGTCTGGGTCAGATCAGTGACCGCGGTTGCAGTCATAGCGGCCGGACCGCTCAAACGGCTAGCGCTGATCGCGACGCGGATGATCCCTTTTCGCGTCTGCAGCCTATCTCGCGTCGACCGCGCTTGGAAAAGCAACCCCCCCGTTATGTGCGAAAGCCTTGGGTGGTGCCCTCGGACCCCACCGTCATTCTCTTTGGACGCATCTCTGAGGAGGATGCCCTGGATGTGGCGGACCTTAGCCTGGATGACGACTTGGACTACGCCCTACGTGCCCACGGCCCCCTGTGGTCATTTGGTAGACTTGTTGAAAGCCTACTGGACGTTCGTGGACTGCGGCGCGATGTGCGACGTCTCTCACCGTTTGCGTGGGTATTCGCACTGGAGGCGTCACTGGCCGCACGCACGGCGCGCCACACACGCGATGCAACCTCGCCAAGGACGTTCACGGTGCAGCCACCCGATGCACCCTGGACCTTGTCGCAGCACTTCAGTTCGATTGTCACGCTGGCTATTCACCGCGTCGGCACGGTAGAAGTGCGGCCTGTGACGAAGAACAACGCCGTCCATCAGAGCAGCGGTGATGACATCAATACCGTTGGGTCTCATCTTGTTGTGGAAAACGCAGAGGCGTCAGAAGACGATGATGATGTGGTGTGTGTGGATCCGGCCACACCGCAGCGCCTGCTCCTCCCGCGCACCGAGGAGGTTGATCCAGGCATGGAGTACGCCAACCGCGTCATACAGGGCTGGTGCCGGGATGCAAGACGCAGGCGAATTACTGGGGGTCTGACGAATTCTGTCTTTTTACTCATTGTCTTTGGCGAGCGTGCGCTTCGTCGCTACGTATGTCGTCTGACGCACCTGCTGGAGGATTTCCAGACGTTTGAGCTGAACGGTTTCGTCGCGGCTTACCAAGCGAAACACGGGGCTGACATTCGCCGATGTGCGGAGGGCGCCCCCGTAACGGAGAAGGCGGCGGGTGTAAACTTGCGCACCTGGTTTCTCGCCGGCAGTGACGACGCTGTTGAGGAGGAAGGAAATGTTACGGACGAGCATGACGAAGGTGGAGATGGAACTTCGGTTGAGAGGAGAGTTGGTGCCCAAGGAGAGAAGACAGGGGCGAGTGTTGTCTCGCAGGAGCCAAGTTTTCTCTTTTCCCAAGGCAGCACGGTGAGTACTAACCCTGCGAGCCATAGGAGAAGGAATGACAAGGCAGACAGCACCTCACTGCATCACTTGCTTCTAAGCCAAGCCCCACTTACGCCGCCGTCAGAAGAGCGACGACACAGGCAGGGAAATCGCCCGCCTGCCCCGTTGAGGCTTGAGTGTGTTGGTAGCGGTATCGCCCTGCTGCGTGCATCTTCCGTCGATTGCGAAGCTTCGTCGTCTTCTCCACAAGTGGCAGTGGTGGACGGGTCATTGATGTGTGCATCTGAATTGATTGCTATGCTGAAGGGCGCTCATGACGCAGTTGTGTTACCCACCCGAGTTATGGTGGTGGAGCAGCAGCTTCGCTTCCTTCGCTTATTGGAGATGGCCCAGGATGCACTACAGCCCGAGCGCCTGCGTGAGCTGCGGGTGCAAGTGCTGGTGGAGCAGCTGCAGGAGGCACCCTTCACTAATCGCGTTGTGGAAGAGGAGCGTGAGGCCTTTGAGGCGTTGGCACACGCCAAGGCGACGCTGACAGGGTCCCTGCTATCTGACAGAAGCACGCTGCGTGCAGTGCAGGAGAACCTCGAGTCAGGGTTAATTCACGACCACAACCTGGGTCGGAGACAACGCGGCACCTTGGGACTTGGCCGCGAGGAGAATTGTGGCGTGCAGTCATCTATAGCGTGTGGCTCTACGACGACCACGGCCGCTTCTGAGGCTCCACTCGTTGTGTTTGACGAGCGGGAGTTTCGATCCTTGCTACCGTACGCGTTGTACCGTCGCGGTATTGAGCTTGTTCCCTTAACGCTCACGACGGCCGATTACGTGTTGTCGCCATCGTACGCGCTGGAACGCAAGAGTGCCCCGGACTTTATTCAGTCCTTACTTTCGGGTCGCATCCACACCCAGCTCGCGGCTTTGTCTCGACGTTACGAGTTTCCATTCTGCCTTGTTGAATTTGATCGTGGCGCTCCGTTTCGTCTGTCTTTTCCATCCTCTTGGTCATCACCCGCGACTGCCGCCGAAAGTGCCGGGCTGTTCGCACGGGTCGCGCGTCTCTTTGCAGCTTTTCCACGTGTTCAGGTGTTGTGGTCGCGCGATGCGACGCAGTCGGCTGGCATCATACACGAGATGAAGCGCACATGTGCACGGGAGGCGGCGGACCCAAGTGCGCCCTCGCTTACACGAGCAAATATCGATCCGCAGGACACCGCCATGGAGAAGGAGGCGGCGCACCTTGCGGCCCGCGTTTTGTCATGTTTCCCGGGCATTACGCCCGGCAACGCGGCGCAGGTCATGGCAACTTGTGGCTCGCTTGCGGGGCTCGCCACCATTGACGTGTCCGCACTCACGGAAGCAATGGGGGAGGAGAACGCCAAACTTCTCTACAGCTTCTTGCACGATGACCTTGTCGCCAAGGTTCTGTAGGCGGACGCAGAGGGGGAGGTAACTGTAGATGCATACAAGCATTGATTTGAGCCACCAAAAGATATAAGCCCTCCTTTCCTACTTTTCCCGCTCGCCACTCCCTGCCTCCTTGAGAAGCAGAAGAAAATAAGTCCAGTTTCGGGTCCTTGTTACCTTCTTTGCATTTGCCTGTTATTGTTTGTTTATGGACGAAGTAAGTTTTCTCTACAGAAAGAAATGAGTCCTTTTCTTTTTTTTTCTTCTCTCTCTTTCTCATTCTTCGTTGCCTCTTTTTTTTTTGCTGGCGTGACGTTGCGAGGGGGCGAGGGGGCGGCGTACAGCGCTTGGCGGCAATAAAGTGTGGTGACTGAGGGTGCGTCAAACGGGGGAACGCAGACCCGCAGCCAGACCTAGCTGTGTGGAGCAGTACAGCACGGACTACGCCTTGCCGCGACATCTGCCCGCCCAGATCACCGCGTAAAGCAGCTGTGGAAACTTGCTGTCCGCCGCCGCATCGATGGGTGGCGTGGGGAGCGACGCACTGCCCTCGACGGATGCCTTGCCGAAGGTCTTACTGGAGAACCAGGTCACCAGCACCAACGTGGTGGTGGACGTGTTGCAGAACGATTACGACGACTGCTTTCGTTCCTACAGCGTGCGTCAGCGCAACGCGTTCGGGAGAGACTCACTGACCCTGCTGCGCCTTTTGTCGGTCAACGAAATCATGCTTCTGGTGCTACTCGTTGTTTTGGCTGTGCCTTCCCTACCACGCTTTGCAGGCCCTCTGCAAAGCGTGAAAGATGCCTCTTTTGCGTCTGACGACATCCGCAACACCAGCGGCCCTATAGTTCCTCTGTTGATGGAAAATCGGAGACCGACTGCGTCGTCGCCGCGTCTGATTCTCATGGTATTATGTTGTGTAGTGTCAGTGTGGCGCATTGTTGCCGGCTTACGGCGTGCGCACACAGAGGAAGTGATGGTGATTCGTGGACTTGGCATGCAGCTTACTACTTACAACGCGTTCGGGTGGATTCTGTCACAGCGATTTGTAGAGCTTAAACTTATTCGCTCCCTTATCATTCATGATGCCTTCTTCCGATTTCAAGCCATCTTCTTCCTCTCCGTGACGGTAGAGAACGAAGCGACGCGCTTGGTGCTCTTTGAGGAGACACTGCCTCGACTGGCGGTGCTGCGTCGTGTTCTCTGTGGCTTGAGGCATATTCTCTACGAGGAACCTGAGGAGGGGAAGACGCTGGCCGAGATGGAAGAGAAGTTGTCACACCCCCTTGAGGACACCGAGGACTCCGACTCCAAGGGCACGGATGAGGATAGTGATGCTACCGAGCATGTGAATGGCGACTCTTTTTCGACTACAACCTTACAGTTGGGAGTGCGGAGCCCCTATGACGCAACTTTGGTGGACAGCCTTGACACCGTGTGTGGAGGAACTGATCTGGCAAATATATGACGGTGCAAAGTGGGGCTTTGAACATTGAGTTGTTGGCCCCCACGCTTCACACCCCTTCTCTGATTGATTGTAATACACGTGATGTTGTTGCTGGCCTTAACTTTGAGGCTGCCACTACGCTAGTTGTTGGATGGCTGGTTTTAGGTGTACGTACATTTGCATAAACATAAACGCATGCTTTTTTTGGCCGACAAAACGAAGGGTTGCACTCTTGTTTAAGGGTGTCTCTACGTGATGCGTTTACTCATTCCCATTTTTCTTCTGAACGCACTTAATTCTGCCGTTTTTTTTTTTGTCTTCTGTTTTTCCTGTTTTTTTTTCTTTTTGCCCTCTCACTCCGCCTGCATCCCGTACTTGCAACTTTCATGGGAGCCGTCCACATGCGGCTGGTAGGATTATCTTCGATAGCGGCATCATATTCATGGTCACCCACACTCGCACGTCGCTTTGTCGCAGCATCGCGCCCTGCTGCTCCTGCAGCGAAGTTTGGTAGCCGTGCACGGCGTCCAGGCTCTACTTCACGTGTGGGTGGCAAAGCGGAGCAGCCCCAAAAAGTCGCGACACATTCATCCAAAGCAGCTGCGTCGGGACCAACAATGCGTCGAAGTCGCTTTTATCGTGTCGTCCAGGAGCGAGGTGCGGGTTTCGCCATGTACCTCTACGTCTTTGGTGAGTCCGTGACCCTCGCGGTGCTCTACGCACTTCACAGTGACCTCTTCTCCACAGGTGATGTGGTTACCTGGCTACGCTTTATTTCCCTCGATTCACTCGTGAATTTGGAGCGATGGTTAGAGGTGGGACCCATCGTCGCCGGGCTGCGTCTCTCCCCACGCTTGCTGCTGAACTACCTCGTCGCTAATGCGTTGACCTACCCGTTGTATGCAACCCAGCTAGCTTTCTGTGCGGCAACCTTCCCACTGCTGCGTGGCGTTCTTTCGCCTGTGAGTTACCTCCTGCATGCACGCCGTGCGAGCGGCAGGCGAGGCCGCGCTGTGCCCAAGGCACCCTCAGTAGGAACAAAAGCTGAAGGGCGTTTGACACGATGATCGAGAGAGGGGTTGGGGTGGAGAGGAATTGGAAAAGACGTATAGTGGCGTCTATAAATAGAGCTGAAGGACGACTTCATTGGATGTTGCTTTTATGCAATTTTTTTATTGAAGTATTTATTTATTTTGGTTTCTTGTTGTTGTTGTTTTTTCTCTTTTTGCCTTTGGTGCCGTGGCTACCCTCTTCGCGTTGCGCGTACCACGGCTCAAGCCCGCTTATCCTCCTGTTTTTTTTTTGCTTTTTCCCCTCGCTCCACAGAGAGGGGAGAGGTGGAGGGGCGGTGGGCGCGTGTGTGGGCGTGGCAGCAACATTGCACAGGGGGGAGAGAGAGCGAGCGAGGGCGATGCAGTGGAGCGCGTCACCGTGCCGCGTGGCCGACTCCATAGACGCAATTTGCCCGAATGTGCTTTGCCCGCACCGTCAGGCAATTGGGCGGGAGCGGTATACTTCCATGCAGTTGACGGCCGCCAATCGTCTTCTGGAAGAGGGGCAGCACTATCTCAGCTTAAAAACTGAGCGACTAGAGGCGGAGGTAAAGGTGAAAAACGAGCAGCTGCAGCAATTAGACGCTCTCGCAAGGAGGGAGGCGGGACGCCGGGCGGAGCTGGAGGAGGAGGTTGCTGAACTACGGCGGAAAAGCCATGCACGCTGCTCCGCCGCCTATTCCAACGCCGTCTCGCAGGAGGCGGAACTGGCGCGCCTGCACGAGGAGAGGAAACTACTCGTGGAGCAGGTGTTGCAGCTACAGTCTGCCCTGAACGACATGGTGCGACTGAACGAGGCACTGCAGTGCGCATTGCGCTCCAATGACATTGGGGCGTCAACTCTGGCGCCGCCGCTTTCGCAGGAGACGCCTACGAGTGTGCCGCATTGCCAGAGTAGGTCTGTTTTGGCGCCGTCGGCAATGCCGTCGTCGTCGTCTCCAGCGACACGCGCCTTCGTGGCTACTTCTTCTCACGTAGATATGCCAGCGGTCCTGAAGGAGGACTCAGTCGAGGTGGCGAAGAGCACCCCCGCGCCTACTGGAGACAGCAAAGAGGTGGGTAAGCGCCCTTCTTCCACAGACGACAAGCAGCGTCAGGAGTGTCATTTGGCCATGGTATCAATGCAGAGTGCCGTCTCGGAATTGGCGTCCCTGCAGGCCTTTTTGAACTCTCTTGGGGAAGCGACGTCCGAGTGAAAGGTTGTTGCCCCGCTTTTTCTTACATGCATCTCCGTAGAGCTGATTGTTATTATTATTAATTTATTATTTTGTTTACATCGAATCTCGCTGTAACGTTGCTTGTTTCTGTCTCTGTCTGTATCTCTCTCTCTCTCTCTCTCTCAGCTTGTGTGTCTTTGTTTTCATTTCTGTCTCCTTTTTATGCGCGGTGGCTCCGCTGCCGGCAATGGGTGTGGTTGATCTTTCCTCCCGTCACTGTGTGTGTGTGTGTGTGTGTTTATTTTGCTCCTTACTCAATGCCGCAATCTTGTCTACTTCTATTCATGTAGGAGGATGGCGGCGAAGGACTCCTTTGCACCTGCATTGATATATGCATATACGCATATGCTTCTTCTTTTGCCATTATCAAGAGCCGATGCTACCGCTTGCGACGGCTGTAGTAGCGTCGCATTTGCATCGCGCTTGTGTAAAGACTGTTTTTGTGTAGGAGCCAGGTTGCTTCCTCATTAATTCTGCCTTTTTCCCTTCTATGTTTCTATCTTTTTTTGTTTGTTTGTTTGCTTGTTTGGTGGGGAGTCTCGTACCTACAAATAAGAGAAAATTGACGTGCATCTCGCACTCATACTGTGTGTCCCGTGGGTGGGTTGGTGTGTGTGCCAATTTATTTGTTACGAGCCCGAGATGCCTGCAAACATTGTGCCGGGCCTCGTGCCCTACTTTGGCTTCATGCTGAAGGACGTGGGGGCTCGACTTGCGATCATGGCGCATTATCTGCAGACAAACCGCCACATGTACCCTGTCACACGTCATCAGAACGTCCGCGCCTACCGTGGGATGCTTCCGTGGACGCAGGACTCTGCCTTCATCGCGCCGAGCGCATTTGTTAGTGGGAACGTCGTACTTGGCCATGGCACTTGCATTTTCTACCATTCCGTTATTCGCAACTACCATTTGCGGGAGGAAACCGTGCTGGGTGATCACACCGTCGTAATGGATCGTGCCTCCTTCTTAGGTCAAGTACGCGTTGGAAACGGCGTCTACGTTGGCGTTGGCAGCACACTTGACTGCTGCACCGTTGGAGACGGAGTGTACCTTGGACCGGGTGTGTCGGTTGCGCTGGGTGCGGTTGTTGAAAACGGCGCCATCGTCGCGGCGGGCTCGCACGTGCCGAAGGACACACGCATCCATGCCTGGGAGTTGTGGGCGGGGAACCCGGCCCAGAAGATAGCGGAGGTGACCCAAGAACAGGCGGACGAGGTGGCACACATTGTGCAAGAACAAATTGGAGTGGCCAAGGCGCACGCTCAGGCGATACACGATCACTTGCACCACACAGAGGAGCTTGATGTGGAGTGGCTGCGTGTGGCCATCGCAGAAATGGAGAAGCAGCAGCAGCAGGTAACACTCAAGGTGCCGGTTGACATTCCGTTGGAGGCAAAGCGTTTTCTTGAACCTCGTGTACACATGCGTCGTCCAGAGATGCACATGCGCATGTCGTACCCTGTAAATCGTGTCGCACCATGGATGCCAAAGGTGGCGGACCAGACGGCCAATGCGTAAGTATTGCACGCTCTGAATCTCAGTTTGTAGAAGCGAGTATGATTAGTTTTTATATCTGTACATAGGTTAGTGAGTGAATTGGGAACATGCTCATGAAGGGAGTGAGGAACCCTGGCAAGGGAGACGGGCTTGGGTGAGGAGGGGAATAGAGGGGGAAGGGGCTGTTGCTGGCAGGCAAAGCAACCCGCAGTATTATATATATATATATATATATATATATATATTACCTCTGTGTGCGTTGTATCGAACTGCGAGAGCGTGAGAGAGGGCGGGAGGGGGTGGGGGAATAGGATAGCATTGTGCATTGATTAAACCGTGGAGAATGGCGTAGTAGTTTTTTGGAGTTGCTCACCTCGTGCCACGTGGGTGCTGCGTGCAGTGTTGTTGTCATGTACTACCTGGGTAGAGAATAAGAAGAGAGGCCGTGTCAAGTTGTCCCTTGTGTCAATCTGGGTAGAGGGATACGTCTCTCTCTCCCTCCCTATCTCTCTCTCCCCTTTGTTTCACTTGCTGATTTTTTGGCTTCATCGTCAGCCCCTTTTTTCTTTCACGTTCTCCTCTTCTTTTGCTCTGCCCACCGCTTCGCCTTGCCCGCCAGGCTTCAGCGGACGGTGCCAAGAGCACAACTCGAAAGGGAGGCAGCGGCGGTCGGCAGCCAGCGCGGTCACGGAACCGCATAATTGTGTGAAGGCGTGGGCGGTTTGTATTGGCGATTGCGGCACGCCGCTGGGCTGCGGTCTGGGCTGCCGAGGGTGTTTTGCGTTGCGTGTTTTCCGCATTATTATTACCGCTTTATCGGCGGCAGTGCCTGTGCGGGCGCTGGCTCGTCTGCCGCCGCGCACGCGTGCAAAGGCGGCCACCGCCCTCGCCCCTCAGTGAGGCCTGCGTGAGTTAATTGCTTCGGAGCGCAGCACCCCGCCCCGGCGTCTCGCTGCTGTGCACTGCCTTCTCCCCTCTCCCCTCTCCCCTCTGCGCTCTGCGGGAACCGTAGAGGGACGCAAACGCCAAGTAGTGAAGCAGCGCCAGCAATAAGAAGAAAAGAAGAAGAAAAACAACAACAACAACAACAAAAGAAAAGGATTGTAGTTTGTTTGTTTTTATTATTATTAATTTTTTTTTGTGCGTCATTTGCCGCTGCTGCGTTTCTTCGTAGGATCGACGGCAACATACAAAGAAAGAAAAAGAGAGCGAAGGAACATACCACGAAAAGGCCGCCGCGGCGTACGACTCCCCTTCCCAGCACCACCGAGGAGGAAGGGATGGTCACTGAAATTACGGTTCTGACCTTCAACCTCTGGGGCATATTTAACTCCAAGCACCGCGCCGCACGCATGGAGCAGTTCGCCACGAAAGTTGCCCACTACGACGTTATTTTGCTCCAGGAGCAGTTTTCCGAGAAGGACTTTGAGCTCATTCTTAGCCGGCTGCCAAGCGAGGTGCGAGAGACGCGATTCTTCCGGCGCTTCCCCAGTGCCTTTTACGGCTCCGGCGTGGCCGTTATTTCCCGCTTTCCCATTAAGTCCGCGCTTTTTTTTACGTTCCCCTTGCAAGGGTACCCTGAGCGCGTGTTCCACGGCGACTACTACGCCAACAAGGGAGCTTCGCTTGTGCGCCTCAGTGTCCCACGCAGCGCGGGGGCGGGCGCGGGCCCGAATTTGCCCTGCGACGACGTTTCTTTGTACTCCACACACCTTGTTGCGGCCTACGAGAAGACAGCCCGCTTGTCGAATTGGCGTGATGAACTCTACTTGTCGGTTCGCCTGAGCCAAGCCGTCTCGCTTGCGGGTTTCATTTCTGAAACCTCACACCCTTCGGCTCGTGTTATCATCGGAGGTGATTTTAATGCCACTCAGCGCTCTCTGGAGTTGCGAACGATGCTCATTTTATTGCGTCAGCGCGGATACAAGTTTCTTTCTGTGCTTCCGCCGTCCATCGTGTACCGCCCGGAAATGTCTGAGCAGGAACGAAGAATCAACACTGCAACACTGACGTTCTCCGATGCCAATGCATTTAACTCGACAAAAGAAGGGTGGCTTGTACAGGGAGGCGATGTGCCGTGTCAGATTGATCATATGTTTTTTACAGCAAATACACTTTGCCTCACTGACTACAACGACTGTCCGGACGCGCCAGCTGACTATCCTTTTCGCATTCCAATCGACGGTGTGGAGAAACCCGCCGGTGTGGTTGTCTTCACGGGGAACAAGGAGGTTCAACTCCCACCAGAGAGGGGCACTTGGGTAAAAGCCTGCAATGCGTTGGCCGCAGTGGGTAATGCGATTCGCTGTGGACCACTTGCATCCTTTGCGCGCCGCCTGGCGCCTGAGCAGGGGGGCAATAAATCGGAAGCGCGGTGTTGTCCAATATCAGACCACTACGGCGTCGCTGCGAGGTTTAAATTGGAGGAAGAAGAGGGGTCTACAGCAGCTGAACACAGATCAGCCTTTAAGGTGGGTGAGGCGGGGATGAAATTAACCGAAGCGGAAACCGAATTATTGCGTGAGGCTGCTGGTCTTCTTGAGGACTCCGTGAAGCGGTTGCTCTATGAGAGTAGACTTTGCATATTGTTTTCTGCCGCTCTGGCAACCCTTGTGGTGGGGCACCTTCTTTATATGGAGTTTGAGGCCCAGCTGCAGGAAAAGCACACAGGCCAAGTCTTGAAGGAGTTGTTTGCATTTGGCAATCTGCAAGGAAGAGCCGCGCGTCTGGGGGGGTTGCTGCCGGGCGGGGATTTCAATAACTTGAGGCGGTGGCTGCGTGTACCAGTTCCTGGCAGCTCAGACAATTTCCCCGTGGCGACAGGAGTAAAGCCTCAAAGCGCTGCACCAGATAATGCCGCTATAGATTACGCAGATATGGCTTCACGGCTTCATGCCAGGAGCTTCTCGAGTTTCCTCTCGCCTTTTCTTACCATTTTTGGCAGCCTTCTCAGCGCCGCATCTCTCGCCACGGCGTTGCTGCAGCGGAAGGCCGACGCGAAGGTACTGGCGGAGCAGGTTGCTATGCTAAAACAGGTTCCTCCAGACCAAAACAAAGCGGTTCGGTAGTGGAAAACTAAAGTATTACAACGAACAGAAGAAAAAAAAGAAATAGACGATGTATTTGCTTTGCTGGGAGGAGGGGGGGAGGGGGTTATTTTCTTCTTGACACGGTCGCGTCGTTCTTTGCCTCTGTGCCTCTGGGTGTGTATCTTCTTTCTTTGGGCTGTTCGCCTCGCTTTTGGCGGGTTTTTGTTTTTGTTTTCATTTCTTTCGTTTCTCTTTGGGTTTTTTCGTTCGTGTTTTGTGCCTCTCATGTCTTCTCTGATTTATTCGACTGCCCGCGTGGCGCCCGTCCATCCCCACAACGTGGGGAAGTGAGCCAAAGAAAGAAACTCAAGTAAAAAGAAGGAAAAAAACCTTCAACCTCCCCGGTGAGGAGGTACTTCAGTAGGGGAAGGGGCATGACATATAAATATATGTATGTATGTATATTTCTCCGCTGCGCAGGACGAGCGCCGTGGCGCACCACGCATATCCGCTGTCGCCAAGAGGGGGAAGAGGAAGTTTTCAAAAAATAGTGAAAAAGAAGAAAAAGGAAAAATGCTGATACGCGAGTTGCCTTAGTTTTTGCTGGTTCTCTCTCCGTTTTGTGGTGGAACTTTTTCTGCCAGTGCTTCTTTCATACTGCTGGAGGGCATTGCAGTGCTGGGGGCGCGGTTGCTCCTGGGCGGCTGAGGTCTGCGGTGGTGCGTGCCGAATTCCGCCGCCTCTTCCCGTTAATTATGTTTTTATTTTATGTACTTATTATTATTATTCTTTTTTTTTTTCGTTGGCACCCCCTCGCGCAAGGCGAAAACAAGGAGAGAAGGGAGAAACAGCCATTCTTCCCCCTCTCTTTCTCTGTGCGTGTGTAGCGGTGGTCGTGAGGCGGCGGTGATGCCGAAGCGGTCGCGGTCGGTGCTGCACGCGTACCTTCTCCCCCCCTCGAAACGTCTGCATGACGAGAAGCGACAAAGCCGCCATGCACCACTTGCTGCGCAGGCCACATTTGATCTGGCGCCTGTAGCTGCTGCGGCGGACAACGAGGTTGTGCCTTATGATTACGGCTGCGGGTCGAGTGAGGCGGCATTTGCCGCGTCTGATGCGCCTAGCCACGTCCCGCGCAAGTTCCCTGAAGGCTGGGGAGGGGACATCGACGAGGGCGCCTTGCCGGATGAACCTTTTATCCCGGAGGCCGATCGGCTTGTCGGGCTACCGCCATCGTGTCGCGCCGTACAGAGCGAGCCGAATTGGCTGGAGCGCGCACTGATGCTGGCACGCGGCGCGAGTCGTTGCACTACTCGAAGTCAGATGCCTGGCGGCAGCGAGCTCGTCTTTCGCCTGCTGCCGCCTGCCCCAACTTGCCTGCATCTTGCAGGCACGACGCAGGAGGAGAAGTGTCGCGCCGCCGCCGTTGCAAGCATCGCCGCCGCCTTCTACGCCGCAGCTTGCCCAGAGGATCCCCGTGTTTTCTCCAACGCGTGCGAGGCTTCCTGGGCGCATTAAATGCTGAACAGAAGGAGGAACACGAATCGGAACTTTGAACAGACAAGACAGAGTGCATGGGTGCCTCAAAACAGGAGGAGGAGGAGAAGACTTTAAACGGAGTTGGAGCGAGGGAGGCAAGAAAAAAAAAACGTCATTGGCTCGTTCTACCATGCCTCGTCAGCCGCATTTGCCTCTCGGTCTCTCTGCGCGTGCGTGCTTGTGGTTGCGGAGACGGCAGCGGCGTTGCGGCATTGCTTCCCTCCTGCGCAATGGCAGACATAACAGCCGTGCATGTTCGATCGCGAGTTCGCGGCGGCAGCTGTCATCTTATCCCACGAAGCCTCTCTCTTCCTCTCATGCATGCTTCTCTCACTCGCTCCGCGTTCTTACTTAGTTGTGGCTCCTGCACCTTCTCCGCTTCTGCGAACAAGGAATAAGAAGAGGAAAACGACGGGAAAAGAATGCGTGTGTACATTGGGCACGTTCTCTTTCCCTCCACGGTGTCAATTTCACTCTCATCGCCTGGGCGCGGGGACGGTGATGATGTTGGCGATGCCGCGGCGAGCAGCTTCAAGCGCTTCAAAGGCGAAGGCTGGTCGTCTGCCGTGAAGGAGGCGAAAGAAGTTGCACCCTGCCAAGTCCCCGCCGCGTCCATTGCGGCAGCCGCGCGGCGGGCGTTGGAGCAGCAATTGCAGCAGCAGGCGACGATCAAGGATAATCCACACATTGATGTCCATGTGCATGTGGCGGGCAAAGGTGTTTCTTTCTGCTTTCTACCGGGAATTCTCACTCAGGCACTCACGGCGCCGGCCTCCACCTGCATAACGCCTTCAGCAGGGCTAACGGTGATTGAAATGGAGACGGCAGCGAAAATTCCGCGAATCACCGAGGTCTCACTGTTTTTGCCGCACGGGGAGGTTTGGAATAGCCTGCCCGTCTACTGGGAGGAGCGGCAGGTAAGTGCGGCCAACACCAGAACGACGGCAGTGGCGACGTCACAAATGGCGCCGAATGGTTGCGCCTCCTCTGCCGTGGATGACGACGCCTCAAATGGCTTGGAAGCACTGCTGGGGAGGCGTATACTTGTCGTGGGCGCGGGAGGCATCGGCTGCGAGTTACTCAAAGTTCTCGTCTTGTACGGTTTTTGCAATTTGGATGTCTTTGACCTCGACACAATCGATGCCACAAACCTGAACCGCCAATTTTTGTTCCAAAAGGAGGACGTTGGCGCCTCCAAGGCCGACACCGCACGCAAGGCGTTATTGAATTGGTTTACGTCGACCTCGTCAGAGCGGCGGGCGCCGAACATTCGTGCCCATCACGCGGATATCAAAAGTGAAGCATACGGTGAGGCCTTCTTTCGACAGTTTGCCCTTGTGTTGAACGCCCTCGATAACGTCTCGGCGCGTCAGCATGTGAATCGCATGTGTATGCGCACAGGCGTCCCTCTTATAGAGAGCGGCACGATGGGCTACAATGGTCAAGTTCAGCCCATTGTACGGGGCCTGTATGAGTGTTATGACTGCCACCCAAAGGCGGCAACCCAACAGACGGTGGCAGTTTGCACCATTCATGCACGACCCACGACTATGGTGCATTGCGTGCATTACGCAAAGGAGTTGTACGAACGACTCTTTGGTGACGGGACGCGGGAGGAGACGGATGAGTTTGCCTTCGTTGATGCCCTTGTCACTCAAGAGGAGGAAGCGCGGGGAGAGACGAACTCCCGTGACGAGGTTGCTGGCATTTGCGGCACGGCGGCTGCCCTGGCACAATGTGTATTTCACGACAAGATTCATGAGCTGCTCAGTATGAAGTCTGCGTGGGCGACACAGCCGCCGGTGCCACTTCCGAAGGATGACATTCAGCGACTCGCTGAAGAGGTGACAGTGGCTGCTGCCGGAGGGAAACCAGTCAACTGTTCACGGGAGACCCCGTTGTCCGTAGAGGCGGCGGTGACCCTCTTTCTGGACGCCTTCACGCGTTGCGTGCGACGGGGCACCCGCGGTGCTTTTCGCAAGGAAGACGATGACACGGTTGATTTTGTGGCAGCGGTGGCAAACTTGCGTGCCGCTGTCTTTCACATTTTTCCCCCCCAGTCCGTGGAGGAGATTCGCAGTATTGCGGGCGCCATTGTGCCAGCCATTGCGACGACGAACGCCATTGTGGCGGCAGCGGTGGTGAAGCAGGCTCTCTGTGTGCTGGGCATGAATGCACAGACATCTCGCTTTGCGGCACCACAGATGGTGTACGTGCGACGCGTGCCGCAGCAGCGGCGCCGCCCTTTCCCGGACTTCTGCCCTTGCAAAATTTCTCTCAGGAACAATTCAGATGGTCCAACAAAAAAGGGTGACGATAATGTCCATGGTAATTCTGCGAGACGGAGGCGGTGGGCAACTGACCTGTTTCTAGTTCACAGTACGCCGCCCAACCCCCCGAGCCGGGCGTGTCTTGTCTGCCGTGAGCGCCACCCCACTGTTCGGGTTGCCTTGGATGCCACTCGCACAACACTTGGGCGGTTTGTCTGCAGTGTGCTGCGGGAGCGTCTGGCGATGGCGGCGGCATCTGTCTACTGCGGTGCGAACGTGTTGTATGAGGTGGGTGAGTACGAGGCGCTGGCCATGACGCCGCTCGCGGAGCTGATGGCGGCGGACGGCAAACCGCTGGAACTCCTCGTCGACGACCTCGACCACGAGGTGGAGTGGCGGCTCCTGGTGAAGCACCGTCCCACACTGCAGGAGTGCGATGCAGTGGAACTAGAGGGAGTTGACGCGGCACTTCAGCTGGAGCGAGCGCTGGTTGCGGAGTCCAGCACTGCTGCAGAGGAAGCTGGTGACGGTCGACTTCCTCTCTCCAATGCCACCGGTGCTGTGGAGGAGGAGGAGGAGGAGGACAACGCCGCTTCTCCTTCCGCTAACAAAATGGCTACAGCAGCGGAGGATGGGGCGACGGCGATATTGGTGCTGTCGGACTCCGACGAGGAGGATGTCGATGTTCTGGAGATTGATTGAGCGGAAGCGTCTGCAGAGAAGCCGCAGTGAAGCATGCCGCCGCTTAAATGTGCCACACGCCGACACCAGCTCCGTCTCGCTTTTTCTTTGTGTTTGTCTGCCTGTATGTCTGTCTGTGTGGGTGTGGTTTGGTCGTTCTTTGCGTGGAAGTGTGTTTACGTCTGCGGGCGCAGTCACGTAATCCCCACGCTGCACAGCGGGCAACTAGAGGTTGAGATATCCCCTGCGAGAAAGCAGACAAACGTGGACGCAGGAGCAAAGAAAAAAAAGAAAACAACAACAACGAATGAAGGACGAATAAACGGCTCAGTGATCCGAAAGAATACATAAACTGTGGTAGTGGCGCTGGGGGCCGTGGTGGCCAGTCATGTCATGTTTGTGCTTGGCTGATTTGCTGTTATTGCCTTTTATCTGTGGTTGTTCCGTTTGTGAAGGAGCGATTTGCCGGAGCCTTCATAAGTTACTGCTGTTGTTGTTGTTGTTTATTTTCCCTTCCTTTCTCACACTATCACCCACACGCATCTCTGCTTCTTCTAGCCATTCACTGCGCGAGCGGGGATTCTTGTCTCTTTATCAGTTCTGCAGGGAAGTTCCCGCTTCCGTTGCTTTTTTTTTCTTAGTTTTTCGGTTGCGTCTGTGCGTGGGGTGAGAGATCGAGGGTGGCCGCTGAGGATGGCAGCGGCGGCGGCGGCGGCGTCACGTTCCTACCGACGTTTGTTCGGTCGCTGCGTCGGTTACGCCGTGGGAGGCACCGCTGTTGCGACAGTCGTAGTGTTGGCACCGCCGCTGGAAGCTGTCCCCCAACCACTTTTGCCCGCACGCGTGCTGTGCGAGGGCGTTGGCCGTGTCTGCCGCTGTGTCTATGTTGCTGGGCACATCTTCATAGATTACCAATGGAACCTGCACGGCGATGCTTCACAAGAGGCGTGGAACGCAGCCCACCTCCGCAACGCGTCTCGTCTAGTGACGCTCGCCGAAACGAACGGGGGACTGTACGTCAAGGCCGGGCAAATTTTTGCCAACATGGGTCACATCTTGCCGCGGCAATACTGCACCACCATGGCTGCGCTGCAGGACGCCGTCATGTCACGTCCCTTCTCAGAGGTGGTGGCGACGCTTGAGTACGAACTCCGGCACCCCGTCTCGGAGGTCTTCTCGGAGCTTGACCCAACTCCCATTGCCGCCGCGTCTCTCGCACAGGTGCACCGTGGGCGGCTCAAGAAGGAGCAGGTGGAGGTGGCGGTGAAGGTGCAGTACTTGGACATCGCCCACCGCTTCCGTGGGGATATGCGGACGATTCAGTTGATGCTGGGCATTGCCGGCTTCTTCTTTCGCGGCTACGATCTTTCTGAGATTGTGTCTAAGCTAAACAGCACCGTGGCGAACGAACTGGACTTCACGCTAGAAGCCGACAACTGCGAACGAGCGGGGCGGGATTTAAAGGCTGGGGGGTTCGGCACTCGCGTCGTCACGGTGGACGTCTTGCGCGACTACACAAGGAGGCGCGTGCTCACCACACGGCTAGTGTCAAACGCCGTAAAGATCTCCGATCTTCGTGGCATTGAGACACTTGGCATAAAGCCGCGAATCGTCGCCGCCTGGTTTTACGATGCGCTGGCGTACCAGCTCTTCACCACGGGATTTGTACACGGCGACCCACATGCGGGGAATGTGCTTGTGCACCGCCTGCCCAATGGGCAACCACAGGTTGTATTGCTGGACTTTGGTCTATGTACCGAGTTGTCGGACGAGTTGCGTGCCGAGTTGGCGTACATCTGGACCGCCGCCGTCACACACGACACTCCTTCCCTACAGAAAGTTGCAAAACGGTTTGGATGTGACGATTACGCACTCTTTGCGTCGTGTTTCTTGCAACACCCGTATGAGTTCTTTAACGCAGAGTCGCGCGTGACAACAAAGACCACGCAGGAGATGATGCGAGATCAGGTGCGGCACAAAATGCATGAGGTGAATGACATCGTCTCGCGTCTTCCTAAGGAGTACGCGTTGGTGTTACGAAACATAATGGCTGCCAAAGCTATCAATAGGGAGCTTCATGAGCCTGTTAATCGTCCACTGCGTATGCTACGATATTCGGTTTGTGCCGCTCAGGGGACGAGGTCCAGATGGCAGGTGAGTTGTATGCTCCTGCGGGCCTGGTGGTCGGAGGTGATCTCATCGCTGCTGGTTGCGTACGCCAAATGGAGTCATCCCGAGTTGATGCAAATGCTGGATGACTCTCTGGAATTGCAGCTCAGTGGTTAGAAATGAAGGGTCTCTCTCTGTCTCTCCCTCTCTCTCTCTGTGTGTGTATGGAGGGAGAGAGAAAGAGAAAGGGACGGAGGGGGGAGTTTTTGGAAGGAGAGAGGCCGAATGAAAGAAAAGGTTGCCTTTCTGGCATGACGTGTGTAAACGGAAAGGCGTACAGTGTGTCTGTATGGCCTTCCTCCTATGCGTACGCGCATGTACGCAGGCAACAGACGAGGCAGTGAAGTGTGCGCCCACACAGACGGTGAAGTATGGGCTGCGATGTATGCTAAACACGGTGTTTCTGTTTTTCCTCCATGGCGTGTTTCTCTCCTGCCTCCTTCTTTTTTTTTTTTATTGGCTGAGCTTGCGATTTCCCCCACGCTTCCCTTCCCCCTTGGCATCGTGCGCGGAGGGGTGATAGCGCCAGTGGTTCGTGGGCTGAAGCAGCGGAGTCACGCCGCCGCACTTGAATACAGCGCTAGAGCGCGCTGTGCGAATACAAGTAGCTTAACTTGTCAACGCCGGCTGGATGCGGCGCACGGCGCTTCGACGTGTGGCGCCGTGGGTGCCGCCGCCCCGTCACGACGTGAAGGTGACGATGCCACCACCGCCCGGCGGCGAGGTTGGTGGCTCCTTTGGCGTTTCGCTGGGGTACAGCGACCGCATCGCCTGCACACCCTACTGGAAGCGCATGGCTCTTTCGAACTACGCACTACGCATGGCGGAGAATGCGACGCGGTATCCGATGAGTGAGCATCGCCCTGGCGAGTACGACATCCGTTACCTCCCCAGGCCGTACCCGTGCACGGTTCGCAACCGGCCGCTACTAGAGGTGGGGGAGCCGCGACAGATTCCAAGCATTCAAATTCCTGTCATTTTTCTTGTGAACCTCTACAATGAACGCAAGGAGTGCTGGTTTGGGCGCAAGTACGAGACGGTCTATGTGAGTCGGCAGTTTATGCGGGAGGAGCTGATGCCGCAGCGGTACGCCATTTACGCCACGCCCGAGGCGTACGCACTGCTTGGGCTGCCGGTCGTGGACCACGGGATTCACAAGGAGATCCCCAAGACGCCGCGCGAGTATGAAAAGTTACTGGAGCGGCAAAAGTACGACGAGGAGAGGTGGAAGTACTCGATTGAGTACCTCTTCCGCAAGTACGAGGCGGGGCCGCCCGAACTGTTAGACCGCGCCGAAGACGGTTGGGACGGCACAGAGGTGGTGGCCGTCTCTGCCGCAGCCGGGGCCGCGCGTCAGGGGGGGGAGGCGGCGCAGCGCAAAGGCGCCATCAAGCAGCGCAAGGCACGGAAGATCAAGTTGTTTTAGCACATGCGCGTTGGCCGCACCCCCGTCTTGGCGGGCTTGCGGGGGGAGGAGGAGGAGGAGGGGAATGGACTGCCGCACGCGGCATTGCAGTGCATGCCTTCACGCACACACTACAGTTGATGCCGCTTCTTTCTTCTGTTCTGCATCTCTGTGGATTTCTGCTCGTCGTCCCCAACGATCCCGCTCCTCGCCGTTGTTGTTCTTGTTGTTTCCCCCGTTCCTCTGCCCTTGCGCTACATCCCTCCGCATGGAGGACGCTCTCAAGAATAAGAGAGAAACCGAGTGAAGAAGAAGAAAGCCAAGGGAAAACAACAAAAGACGAGAAGGAAGAAAAAGAGCCTAACTACAAAGACGTACACACATACATTTATATTACTAGTTGTTTTCCTTTGAAAGAAGAAGAATTTAAAGGGGAAAAAAAGCGAGGAGGGAACGTAAGGCCCCCAACAGGGAGACCACCAACAAGGAAAAAAAGACGAGAACAAACGCAAGAAGCGGCGCAAGGCGGGAAAAATGCCGCTTCTTTCACTCCCGACCGACCCCTCCGCGATGGAGGCGGCGGCGGTCGTCAAGGCTATGCATGTGGACGCAAAGCGTGGACTCTCTGCAGCCGAGGTGGAGGAGCGACGCGAACAATTCGGCCGTAACAAACTCCCTACGGAGCCGCCAACCCCTTTTTGGAAGTTGGTTCTGGCGCAGTTTGAAGACACGCTTGTTCGCATTCTTCTTCTGGCGGCCATGACGAGTTTCGTGATGGCCCTTATTGAAAAGAATGCCACAGATTTTGTGGAGCCTTTTATCATCCTCCTCATTCTTGTGCTAAACGCGGCGGTTGGGGTGTGGCAGGAAAATCGCGCGGAGGGTGCGATTGAAGCACTCAAGTCATTCGTTCCCAAACTTGCCGTGGTGTTACGCGAAGGCAAGACGGTCACGGTGGAGGCAGAGGATCTGGTGCCTGGTGACATTGTTGAGGTGGCGGTGGGAAACCGTGTTGCGGCGGACATGCGTGTGTTGGAGTTGCACAGCACGACGCTGCGCGCCGACCAGGCAATTCTTAACGGTGAGTCTGTGGAGGCAATGAAGGGTGTAGAGCCTGTACGTGGACATCATGAGCGCTTCGCTGCAAGCATGGTTTACAGCGGAACAGCGATTGTGTACGGCAAGGCGCTTTGTGTTGTGGTGCGCACCGGCGTTTCCACCGAAATCGGCTCCATTGAAAGAAATGTGCGGGAGCAGGAGGAAGTGAAGACGCCGCTGCAGATCAAATTGGATGAGTTTGGTGTGTTGCTGTCCAAGGTGATTGGCTACATCTGTCTAGCGGTGTTCGTCATCAACATGGCGCGCTGGTACACGGTGCACACACCGACGCCAAATGAGCCATGGTACGAGCGCTTCATCGCGCCGGCAATCCATTGCCTGAAGGTGGCCATTGCGCTGGCCGTTGCGGCCATTCCTGAGGGACTTCCTGCCGTCGTCACAACCTGCCTTGCGCTTGGCACACGACGCATGGCGCGGCACCACGCCCTGGTGCGCGATCTCCCAAGCGTGGAGACCTTGGGACGTTGCACCGTCATCTGCTCCGACAAAACGGGCACCTTGACGACAAACATGATGTCCGTGCTGGAGATCTTCACAATGTGCTCGGGTGGCGCGCTGAAGGAGTACGGGCTGAAGGACTCGAGGTTCAACGTGGTGCCAAATGTCGTGACGTGCGGCGGCAAGCCGGTGGCCTCGGCCGTGGAGTCGGACGCGGCTCTCGGGATGCTGGCTAGCATCGCCGCCCTCTGCAACGATGCCTCACTCCACTTCAATCCGGCCACAGGTCAGGTGGAGAAGGTGGGCGAGGCAACAGAGGCGGCGTTGCTCGTGATGAGCGAGAAACTCGCCCAGCCCACGGATCCTGCTGCCGTCTGCGCCTTCCGCAAGCTCACCGAGCAAAAGTGGATTAAAAACACAACGCTGGAGTTTACCCGTCAACGTAAATCTATGAGCGTACACGCCACTTCGGCGACGTCTGCCAAACTGAACAGTTTATTTGTAAAAGGGGCTCCAGAGGAGGTTCTGCGGCGCTCAACGCAGTTTATGCAAGACGACGGTGTTGTTCTTCCTTTGAGTGACGCAATGCGTTCACGCATCATGGCGAAACTGGATGTCATGTCCGGGAGCGAACACGCACTCCGCTGCATCGGATTTGCCTTTAAATCAACAAGCCCTGTACGAGAGCTAAAGCTTACCGAGCCAGCTTTATTTGAGGAGGTTGAGTCGGATCTCACGTTTGTTGGGGCATGTGGCATGCTCGATCCCCCGCGTGAAGAGGTTAGGCAGGCTATTGACAGCTGCCGCACCGCGGGCATCCGCGTCATGGTCATCACCGGCGATCGCAAGGAGACGGCAGAGGCCATATGCAGGAAACTTGGTTTGATGCCCGCGACAGACACCACTGGATTAAGTTACACGGGAGCTGCGTTTGATGCGATGAGCCTTGCAGAGAAGCGAAACGCGGTGATGTCGGCGGTACTGTTTAGTCGCACCGACCCTTCCCACAAGATGCAGCTGGTGAAATTACTACAGGAGCAAAAACTCATTTGTGCCATGACTGGCGATGGCGTGAACGACGCCCCCGCCCTGAAACGGGCGGATATTGGTATCGCCATGGGGAGTGGCACGGAGGTGGCAAAGGCTGCCAGCAAGATGGTGCTGGCGGATGACAACTTTGCCACCGTCGTCAAGGCGGTGGGGGAGGGTCGCTCAATCTTCAACAACACAAAGCAGTTTATCCGCTACTTGATTAGCAGCAATATTGGCGAAGTTGCGTGTATTCTCCTGACAGGCCTCTGCGGCCTCCCGGAGGCCCTCTCACCGGTCCAACTGTTGTGGGTGAACCTCGTCACGGACGGTCTTCCAGCTACCGCCCTCGGTTTCAATGCGCCGGATGACGACATCATGGAGCAGCCCCCGCGTCGCGTGGACGAGCCCATCGTGAATGGATGGCTCTTCCTTCGCTACATGGTGATTGGCCTGTACGTGGGCGTCGCCACGGTCGGCGGCTTCTTGTGGTGGTTCCTTAGCCACGGGTTCAGCTGGCGCGAACTCACCAGCTACGCGGCCTGTACCGACATGCAGGACGCCAAGTGCGCCATACTCGCCGACCCGGAGGCGGCGCGCGCCATCGCCCTGTCGATTCTCGTCTTGGTGGAGATGCTGAACGCGCTGAATGCGCTGAGCGAGAATGCCTCTCTCATCACGACACGGCCATCCAGCAACGTCTGGCTCTTGCTCGCCATCTTCTCCTCGCTTGCGCTGCACTTGCTGATTATGTACGTGCCCTTCTTGGCGTCGCTATTTAACATCGCCCCACTCGGCGTTGACCCCCAAATTGTGAAGCAGGCACAGCCTTTTAGCGTCCTTGTTCCGTCCAACTTTGACGACTGGAAGGCGGTGATCGTCTTTAGCGTGCCGGTAATCTTCATTGACGAGCTGCTCAAGTACATCACCCGGCACACGCAGGCCCGCCACGAAAAGAAGAACAACTGAACGCGAAGGATAACTAGAAAGGCGAAAGTGAATGGACGGAAAAAAAAACAAAGAGGGAGAGGGAGACGAGGGGAAGACGAATAAAGGAGATGGTGCAGAGTGACTTTTTTTTAAATTCTTTGCAACGTCATTGCACATATGTATCTGCGCAAACATGTGTATTTATGCATGTGTTACGTAAATACATTTGCCACGCCTGCAATATGGCTTTATTTTTATTTTCCCACGCTCTCTCTCTCTCTCACTCTATCACTTATTATTTGCCTTCTCGAGCGTGGTTGTTTTGTGCACGCACACGATCGGCGCTGTGTGTATGCATGCAGGTGTGTTGCCGTACCTACGGTGTGGTGTGGTGCGATGGTGCAACGGTGTTGTGGTCTTCGCGCGCCTGGAGTGCAGCGACACACTACACCCACCCCTCTGCACGCGTGTAGATAGAAGGGTAGATTTCGTTGTCTGTACGACTCACACGAGAAGCGGTGGTGTGTGACGAAGCCAAAAAAGACGCGGAGAATAACATGGGTAGTAAAATGACAGTCTAGACATTGGGGGGCGGTGTGGGTGTGTCTGTTTGTGTGTGTGTCTGAGGTGAGGAGGGTTCCTGCTCAAGTCATGCCCTAAAAGAGGGTGCCACGGTTTGAGGGCGTTTGGTAAAACTATAAAACGAACGCGTCAACGGTCTAGCGGCGCATTTATTTTTGGGGGTATCTACTCACAGATCTGCAAAGGATGAGGGACAATAAAAGTAAACTCAAAAGAAAACAAACATGCACGCACCTGCAAGGTGTGTAGGCGCATTGCATACGTTTTTTTTTTTTTTTGTAAGTCCGCCCACAGCCGGAGAGGGAGAGAGGCAGGAGTGTTGTGCCCGGGCCGACAGGCAGGAAAAAAAACGAGGATACGAAGGAGAGAGAAAGGAAAAAAAAAAGGACTGCGTGAAATATGACTGAAAGCAAAGGAAGAAAGGAGAATAATTGCAAGGACGCACCGTGAGGAGGAGCTGCGCAAGTGCGGGGAAGCGTGTCTGCGAGAGCCTGTGGCGCAGACTCCCTCCCAAGACACGCATATGCATATTTGCTTATTATTTATTTATGCATGTGTAGGCATGCATTTCGCGGTAGGAAGAGAAAAGGTGCCTCCTTGGACACACAAGCATGCAGGCATAAAAAAAAGAAAATGGAAGCGAGTGGAAGAGAGATGAGGAAATTTATTGCTGGGAGGTTTATTTATTTACGTTTGTGTCTTGTCTCTTGTGCTTCCTCGTGTTCGTCCTTACTTTGCCCCTTCGCCCACACGCCACGAGGTTCCACTTTGCCTCGAAGGGCGTGGGTGGGGCGCTGTTGTTGTTTTTGTTGTGTTTTTTTGTTTGTTTGTTTTTTTTCTTTTGCGTGTTTGTCTGCGCCGTCGCTCTGCCCTCGCGTTGTGTTTTCCTGCAGCTCCCTCCCTCCTTCCGACGACGACGAGGACCGTCACCGCTGCTTTGAAGGCTGCCCTCTTTGCTTCTTTTCTTTTTTTTTGTGCGGCCTGCCCGACGCCCTCGGCCCAAAATCAGTAGGAATACGCGCGCGACGCAGGGCGGCTAGGCACAGCACAGTAGCGGGGAACTATTCGAGCGGGGGCAACTCCATTCCATCCACAAAGGACACACGGACACCGCAATACGAGGCACTGAAAAAATGTTTCGCGCATTTGCGAACTCGCCGGTGTACAAAACACTCCTCCGGCCCCTCAGTAGCAATTCGATGCTCGCGCTGTGTGTCACGACGGGATGCATGAGCGCGTTCGTGTACTGGTCCTATGCCCGAAGTAGCCTGGCCACGCTGCGACAGACACAAGAGGGCTGTCAAGGTATAGCTGAAAACGCCTTTGTGCAGAGCAGGAAATTGTTGAAGAGCCTGGAGGAGGACTGGGCTCAAGATATGAAGTCGCGTGACGACTCGGTGCGACGACTGGAGCTGCAGAACGTGGAACAGACACGCAGCATCGCTCGCCTGGATGCGGCAATGAAACTCTGCATCGCACCAGGACCACAAGTGCCAGAGTGATAGCAAACCCTTTCTTCTTATGCCTCTTCTTATTTTCATTCGTTTGGCTAAGTGCAGCGTGAACACATTTGTATATGTACGTTTATCTCTGTGCTCCTTTTTGCCAACTTGTAGATAGCTTCCTTTTCCCCACCCCTTTCCATTTATCATACTTTTATCTCCTCATTACTGTGTGTATGTGCGATTTGCTTCATGTTAGCTGTATTTAATATTCTCTTTCTTTTTTTTGTATCTTTGTTGGGATGAACATCCGTCTGGAATGCTGCTCACCACACACACACACACACACTGCCCGGCAGGCGAATATCAACTGCGTTCTAGAAAGGCAATATATATACACGCGCGCGCTGGGACACATGCCTAGAAAAGACAGAGATGTCTGGGACCCGCCGGAGGACCGCAAGGCGGTGGAGGAGCCACCATCTGCTTTCATGCAACACTTCCAGGACCGTGCTGTGCGGGTTGGAAAGGATGGCAGTAACGCACAGTTAGTGCGGGTCAAGCAGACGAAGCCGATACGATGGTCAGATGGCAGCAATAGAAAGAACGAGGGTGGGAATTCAGTGCCTGCATCTGTGGGGTGTGAGGCAGACATGCACAACAAGAAGCCAATGATGATGCCGTTGCCGTTAAAGAATAGACGCCATGCGGGGGGAATTGTGGCACCTGACGAGCTCAAAGCAGGACCCCCTGCGCCACGACCGCTCGCCAACAACTTCAACAGTTGCTTGGATAGGGGCACTAGTGGGGGTAGACAGCCAAGACGTTTGTTAGCTGCCCCTGGCGTGGATCGTAGGGAGGCGCCTAACGCAGCGGTGCCCGTAATAGAGTTGTCTCCACACTCGCGTCTAGACAACCAACGCGGGACGACCGCTGCGGCTGCGGTGGTGCCGCCGCGTCGTCAGCCGTCAGACGCGTTGTCCTTTTCAACGGGCAGAAGCCAATCGCCAGAAGTTCTCTCCGTCGAGCGCGTTGATGCGTTGCGACCAGTGAGGGCATTATTGCCCCGTTCACGGCCTTTACCCGAGCCCGTGGGGTCAGTGCAAGTAGGAAACGGCCTTCCAAAGCCGCTGTCTCGTCTGCCCCCACGCAGGATCAGTGAAACCGGTGACGCGGACGAGGCCCAACTGATGCCCAGACCGAAAAATGCGCTGGCATCTCCTTCGTCGTACACACAGCAGAAGAATGTTGGTGGGAGTAGTTCGAGTCAGAACAGGGGGAGCAGCAACGGCGCGGTGGTGCAAGGAGATGGAGAGACTGACTCTTCCGGTCGGCTGGGAGACAATAGAAGTGAGTCTGCCGCGGATGCTTCGCCCATCATTCCAATGTACCAGCCGATGGGTTTCATGATGTTCGCCAAACCCAATCTTGCGAAAAACGGAAATAAAAAGCCCCTCAACGCCGCGAGGCAGAAAAAATTAGCCAGTGGCGCTAAGCGACCGGCCACAGAGGAGGGTCCACGCGACAGCCGCCAAGGACAGCTTCCTCGCACGCGAGGAAACAACCATATTGCATCAGACGGTAAAGAGTCACCCATGTCCGTGCCGTCAACAACGACAAGGATACTTTCCCACCCCAGCAGACTCCCGCCGCTGGCGTTCACCTCAGCACCAGATGCGGATGCAGCGTCCGCAACCAGCAGCGGGGCGTTGACGGAAACCAAGGAATCTGAACGGGAGGAAGTGAAGAAAAAGAACCCTGCGTACAAGGCGTATAAATGGAAGGACTACAAAATGATGATGGAGCAGGTGGCGAATCTTAAGTTGGGAGGTCTGGGGCCCACCGACACGGACGAGCAACGCCAGGCCAAGGAAAAATTGCAGCGTCAGCGTCAATACGGTGAGTTGGCTGAGAAACTAGCCGTAGAGAAGATACGTGAAAAGCAACAGCAGTGGATTCTTCTTCAAAGACAACAGTTAGAAGAACAAGGTGAGGAAGGCGCTCTTGCCAGTGAGACACCATCAAAGCGGCGGCGGCAACCGCCTCCCCCAGAACGAATTCAGGCCCAAGAAAGAAGGGCACGTGCGTTGGACTACGCCCGAAACATCCCACGACCAGAGCCGCCAACCAAGCGCAACGCGCGTGACGGGAATAGTTCTACTCTCTCCGAGTCTGGTTCTCTGCGCTGGCGCTCGCCGCAGGATGAGGCTGCATGGCGGCGCGAACAGCGCCTGAAGGAACTGGAGGCTAGGCACCGTATTGACCGAGAAAGAGTGGCGGCAGTCAAGCGACAACTTGGATATTGACCTCACATTGTCCTGCTTTTTTTTTTGCTGATTTTTTTGTTGGTTTGTTCTCTGGTGTTTTTGTTTTGTGTCTTTAGTATATCCCTCCATACATATGTACTAGTCTTTTCGTCTGAAGAATTTGTCCTGTTATTCTTCGGTGTGTCGTTTTGTTTTTCTTTTTCCTCCCTCCCTGCAGCGGCAGCTGGGGCATGACTGCCTGATCGAGAGGCAACGAAAGGGGCAGTGGCGTTGTGTAGTAGAATCCAACACATTATTGTGGACCCCATCAATCACAGATTCTTCTTCTCTTCCTTCACCTGGTGGGGATATTATTATAATTATTTTCCTGCCTCCAGCTTGCTTCTTGCCGGGGCAGCTGTTAAAACTTTCCTGTCTTCACCCCCCACTCTTTTCTTGGCGTCTAATGTGTGCCCGTGTAGCAGGCAGGTGGCGAAGTGTGCTATCTTGTAGTGTAGCGCCGAGGCAATGAGCAAGCCCCCTGGAGCGACAGACGCCTCGGAGACGTTGGAGGGTCTCTCCCGTGTTATCCGTGAGGCCATAAATAACGGATGCACGGATATGCTACGACGTTACCACAGTCAATTGGTTAGCCGCGTGCTAGTGCTGTCCTCGTCTATTATTGAAACAACAGCACTGGCGCTGCGTACGGACGTCACGTCGGCGTCGGCGCCTGGTGGAGAGCGGCAAGAGGACCCGAAAGCCCTCATCCCGAGGCGGAGCCCGGATCCTGGCAAGCGGACCCCCGCATCTGGAAAAACTTACAAGAGCAACACTATTAGCAATGGTGGCGACAAAATGCGGCGGGGGAAGCGTCCTACACGTGACAGGGCCCTCACGTTGCCACTTCTTCTCACCCCACCACTTGAAGTGGGGCCTACGATGAACCGGTGCGCCACATCCGCGGTGACAGTTAACGTTAGTGATATTCTGTCCTCCACGAATGCAGCGCCTTCGTTGCCGCATTTTACATCATCAGTCAAGCGCCCTGTGGAGGGTGAAAGATGCGGCGCCAGGGGGCGTGGCTCGTCATCTGAGGTTATGTACCTCAGCGGCATGCGTGAAATGGGACAGCCCTTCGTGCAAGATGAGGCGCTCACAGATGAGGAAGTGCGTGCCACACTGTCCCTGGTAGCACAGGCGAGTATTAAAGACAAGAAGCAGGAAGAAATTCAGCATTCATACTATGAATTGCTGTGTGTTCGGTCGTGTGAATTGGCGACTCCCGCGTCGCCCATATCGTCGCCGTACTCTGTTGGAAATGAGGGTCGATGCGTTCGTGCTGGCTGCTTCACAAAATCCATTTACGCCCATCACCCCAGCGTTAATGAAGAAGCTGCATCCCCGATGCTGACCCCGCCGAAATCCATCAAGGAGAAGAAGCAAGTAAACATGCGTGGAGCAAGTTCTCAGCGCCCCTCCCTGAGTCCATCGAGCTTGATGTCGACGCCAGCCAGATCGCCCTATGTAAAAACATGGAAGAATGGGCGACGCAGTGTCGTTTCATCAAAGTCAAAGACCGCCGCGATGGCAACCGGGGCGGCGAAGGGAGCGGCAGCTAAGGCTATTGAAGACGTGTCATCAGTATCGCCCATTGTGTGGCGTCCCGTGACTCCATCGATGGGCACTGGGACTGGAGTCAACTGTAAGAGGTCCCGGGGAAGGGCAGGAGGTCAGCCGATATGTAATAAAAAAGAAGATTGTTTGGGGAAGAATGCTCAGGGCGAAGAGGATAAAGTTGTGGGCAAAGACAATGCGACTCAATTTGTCCTTCGTACTGAGGGCCGTGTTTATACCCTCCACTACACAACGCCCTTGTGTACGCAGCGAAAAGAAGCTAATGATGAACCCACTGTGGGCGATGGAACTAGTTCCCCTATTAGCATAAGCGTGGTGTCGCCTCAATCTCCATGACTTTTGATGTTATGAGGATGCATGGAGACCGTGGTTGCCGTCGTGCGTTTCATCATATGAGTACTGCGTCATTCGCGTAGCAGTGGCATCAACAATTTCATGTTTTCTAAAAATAAAAATAAAAATAAAAAGAAGGGGTAGTATCTTCACTCTTCCTTTGCCGGTTTATTACTGTTATTATTTTGGGAGGTCTATGTAACGATTGTACGACAGCATTGGGCAGAGAGAGAGGGAAAGAGAGAGAGAGAGGCGATAGTGCGGCTCAGTTAACGCCCCTGCTACTTTATGAGTTACTTGAGTCTTTTCTTCTTTTTAACTTCCAAGAGATACCATGTTGGCATAATGAGGGGGTTTCACTTCCTTTTTTCTTTTCTCCCCTCTTTTCACTACTACAACTCCCACCAATGCCCTCGCTGCGGAGGGGTTCGGCGGTTGCGGGACACTAAGGACTGCCCCCTCGTCTCTTTGCAAGAAACTCAGTTGTCTTAATTTACGTATTTTGAACTTGCTTTCTCCGCCGGAGGGAAATTTTTGTTTGAATTAGTTGGTGTGTGTGTGCGGGGCGCATGAAGCCGAACGGTGATTCCTTATTGACGTTTTTTTTTTGTTTTTGTTTTTCTCTTGCGGAAATAGTAAGGACATGACCTTCTGCAGTTTCCTGTCCTCGCGGGAACTCAATGGTCTTCTCTTGTTTGCTGATGGTCTTTGTTTTGCGCGTTTGGCAGTATGTTGTCGTTGTTGTTGTTGTTGTTTGGTTATCTTTCTTCTTCCTCTGCTCTCACTACTGTTTCTGTCATGACGACTTTTTTTTTCTGTGTGTGTGTTCTTGCCTGCTCTCTTTCTGTGCATTAGCATTCTGCTGCTCTTTTTACCGGGCCCTCCTGGGGCTTTGGTTTTGGTTTGCTTACGCTCCTCGTAGCAAGAGCGACTTGGTCGATGTGGCGGCACCGGGCCGCAGCGGCCTTCGCTGTGGGGGTCGTACGCTGCGCATCTCCGTTTTGCGGCGTCGGGAGCGCCGTTGGCTGTCGGCGTGTGCCTTTTGGAGAAGCATGTAGGGAGGTGGACGACGCCGCTGCTGCTGCGCCGTCCTTTGTGCCCGCCTTGTGTGTGGCACGGCGTGGCGTGAAGCTCTCAAACCCGAGCGGCAAACAGGGCAGCCAGCACTACGGTGTCGAGCCGAAGCTGGAGGCAGGCAAAGATGTACAGCTGAAGCACACCGAGATGTATGACGGCTACACAGATGACTTTGGTGTGTTTAAGGAAGGTCCCCCCACGACGTTGCGACTAGAATACGTGCGTTCCCCTGAGCATGGCTACTCGCAACAGCTGCTCCAGAAAGACATCTGGTCACCGTTCCAAGTCAATGCCAACATGATGATGTACACTCCGTTTTACTACGACTGGAAAGGGTTTGCGAGTCGGGATTACTGGGGCCATCGCAGCGGAACGAATCCCGGCAGCAAAGTCTTGTTAGGGCACTATCGACGGGTGGAAGAGCGATCGTGGGGATACCGTGTCATGGTGAACCACAAACCACAGAAGCGTGTTCCAAAGTGGTTGGCGTGTGTGCTTCATCTGCCGCGTAAAAAGACCTTTGTAGGATTCTTCTTGTACGCCAATGGGGCCTACGTGGCGGAGCTTCTCACGTATAAGCAGTTGCCACGCATCTGCTACAACAAGCCGTTTCAAGGATGCATGCCAACGATTGGGCAGACTGTGGCGCTAAGCGAGGTGACATATGGTAAGGAGTTGCACTCTGTAGAGATGTATCCGGGCCACGGTGGGGTCATTTGCCGTGCAAGTGGTACGGCGGCGGTGGTGTTGCGCGGTGCGGAGCCAAATCTGGTCCCGCTTCTGCTTCCCTCGAAGGAGGTGCGCCTCTTTGATAACAACTGCCACGCCGTCTTTGGCCGACGGGCGGGGGTGATGTACCGCTATCAGCGCAACTTTGGCAAGCGCAACGTCGAGGAAAACATGCCACATCGGCCAAAGGTGCACTCCAAGACGAAGCGCGTCTCGAGTCACCCTGCTGGGGGCGGCAATGGAGGGTCGGCAAATCTGCTTGTGCCACTTGACTGGCGCATTCATCCACGCAACTGCGTCAAGACAAAGTACTGGCTCTCCGGTTACATTCTCCGTGGGCGGCAGTACAACAAGAGCCAGACGGTGGCAGATATTAAGTCTAAAACGTATAGCTGGGCGAATCGCGATCCAGTGTATCGTTAGGCACACTCCCTGTCCCTCTGTGTCTCCGTCTACACGTGTGTGCGTGTTTAGGCGTCTATTTCCATTCACTACCTCCACCGCTCAAGCGTAGAAGGAGAACAAAAAGCAGGTTTGAGCTTCCGTGATTGTTGTTGTTGTTGTTTTTTTTTGTTCTGCATGCTATGAATTTTTTTGTTTGTTTTTTTCTTTCTGCGGCTGCCTTCAACTGCGGCAAAGAAAACTGTATGTCGGCCGACATTTGCGTCTGACGGCAAGTATGCATTTCCTCTTTTTTGAGCATTCACCTCTTCTTCGTGTTGTTTACACGCGTACGTGTGTGTCACAAAACGTTATTGGGTATATATTGCGCAGCTATCACGACATCCTTTACACGCAAACAGAGAAGCAAGTTATAAGCAATGTTTCGACGTGCAATCAACGTATCAGGCCCGACACGCTGCCTGGCGTTGATGGGATATGCCACGCTGCCTGACCTCGTAAAACCAAAGGGAGCCCCGGCCGAGTTGCCCAAATTGGAGTTTAACTGGAAGGAAGGCTGTGCCCCCGTATTCAGCCCGCGGCAGATGGAACTGCACTACACGAAGCACCACAAGGCTTATGTTGACAAATTAAATGCACTGGCCGGGACGACGTACGATGGCAAGACCATCGAGGAGATTCTCCTCGCGGTGGCAAGTGACGCCGCCAACAAGGTGCTCTTTAACCAGGCCGCACAACATTTTAACCACACCTTTTACTTCCGCTGCATCACACCGAATGGAAAGCCGATGCCAAAGCCTCTCGAGTCTGCCATCGCGGCGCAGTTTGGCTCTGTAGAGCAGTTTAAGGACACCTTTGCGCAGGCGGGGGTCAACAACTTCGGTTCGGGGTGGACGTGGCTCTGCGTGGACCCGGCAAACAAGAACCAGCTCGTTATCCATAACACAAGTAACGCCGGGTGCCCCCTGACGAGCGGACTGCGCCCCATCTTCGCCGTGGATGTCTGGGAGCATGCGTACTACAAGGACTTTGAGAACCGCCGGCCGGAATACCTGAAGGAGATCTGGTCAGTCGTTGACTGGGAGTTTGTGGCAAAGATGTACGCGCAAGCACGCGGGTGAAAGCATTGCGCGTTGATGCGAAGTGAGAGAAAAGCGAAGAGGGAGGAAAGAGAGAAAGAGTGAAGAGAGATA